AACAGATAACGGCCAAGGGCACAAAGCATAGGAATCTACTCTCCTTCACTTCGTCTACGTCTCAGTTTAGAGAGTGGGGGACTCTTGATGGAGTATATGGGTCTGAGCCCCCGGACCCACATACTCGGAAGAACAGAAAGCACAAGGCACAGAGTGGCGCCCTCGTCGGCCAGGACGCCCCCGTCGGCCGAAAGGGGGCCAACTCGGATTATGGTCCTGAGTCCAAGGAACCCGGGTGCCCTCGTCGGCCGTGCCCTCGTCGACCGTGCCCTCGTCGGCCACACCCTCGTCGGCCACGAAGACCTCACAGAATCGGATTTTATACTTACTCATTTGTACAGCCCATTAGTGGCTTTGTATTCGGCCCAGTAGCGGTCCAGTTTTAAATGGGCCTCCCAAGCCCAAGGCTTGGGAGCCCAACCCTAATTTTCTCTATAAATACTCCCCTTGGGAGTAGTTATAGGGGTTACAAATTCATTCTATTGAAGCATATTATTGCACTTCTCTCTCTAGCTCTCACTTCTCTCTAGATATACTCTATCATCCCCCGTGGAAAAAACGGTGTTGGCTATCGTGTGGACCGTCAAGAAGTTGGGCCATTACTTCCAAGCTCACCCGGTCCAGGTCCTCACTCACCAACCCCTCGGCGCCTTGATGAGGAGCCCCACCAGCTCCTCTCGAATGGTAAAATGGGCTATCTTTTTGAGCCAATACAACATCGACATCCGTCCTAGGCCCGCCATCAAGGGCCAAGCTCTAGCGGACTTCGTGACGGAATGTACGGCGAGGTCAGCCACGGACGAGGAGCCCTCGGTCCCTTCGGATGATTGGTGGACCCTCTACACCGACGGCTCCTCCGCCGTCAAGGCATGTGGAGGAGGGGTGGTTCTCATCTCACCCGAAGGCTTCCGGGCCTATTACGCAGTCCGCTTCTCCTTCAAAGTCTCTAACAATGAAGCCGATTACGAGGCCCTCCTCTGTGGCCTTCGGCTGGCAGCTAACATGAAGGCCCGACAAATTCACGTCAAGTGTGACTCTAAGTTAGTCGTCGGCCAAATCTCCGGGGAGTACGAGGCCAAGGAAGGGAGAATGAAGCAATACAAGGATGCGGCCAAGGAGTTGCTTAAGGTATTTGAGGCACACTCTCTTACTCAAATACCGAGGGCTCAGAACTCCGAGGCCGACATTTTACCAAAGCTCTCGGCAGAATCCCCTGAGCATATCTCGAAGATTGCCAAAGTAGAAGAGCTCAGCCTTTCTAGCATACATGCTAGCCCCATCATGCACATACAACAAAGGCAAGGTGACTGGATCTCAGACATTGTCGCCTTCATCACCACAGGGCAACTGCCCGAGGATGAGGCCCCCGCCAAGCTGGCCAAGCTGAGGGCTCCCAGCTACACTATCTTAGACGGAAGGCTTTACAAAAGGTCCTACAACGGGACATTACTTCAGTGCCTTCATCAAGATGAAGCCGAAGTGGCGATGGAGGAAGTACACAGTGGCACTTGCTCAGCTCACCAGGGACCCTTCTCCATGTCCCGAAGGCTAATAATCCAGTGCTACTTCTGGCCTACGATGGCCCGGGATTGTGCAGATCTTGCCCGGAGGTGTCCCGCATGCCAACACTTCCAGAAAGCCCCCGGCAGGCCAGCGGTCAACTATGATCCCATCAGTACATCCATACCCTTCGCTCGATGGGGCATAGACCTTGTGGGCCCTTTGCCGAGGGGTACCTCCAACAACAGGTACATCATTGTCGCCATCGATTACTTCACCAAATGGGTGGAAGCTGAGCCCCTCGCCAGCATCACTGAGGCCATGTGCCGTCATTTTGTTCTCAAAAACATCCTCACCAGGTTTGGCGTCCCTCAGCAAATCATCTCCGACAACGGGACTCAGTTCGAGGCAGCCCCCTTCTGTGCCCTCCTAGAGGCATGGGGCATCAAACACACCTTCTCATCCGTTGCCTACCCTCAGGGCAACGGTCAAGTGGAGAACGCCAACAGGACCTTGCTCGAAGGCCTAAAGAAGAAACTGGAGGCCGAGGGGGGTGGCTGGGTAGAAGAGCTCCACAACATCTTATGGGCCTACCGTACCACCCCCTCAGCGGGCAACTGGCGAGACACCCTTCTCCCTTTGCTACGGATTTGAAGCTAAGGCCCCCACTGAGGTAACTCTTCCAACCCGAAGGGTCACACAGTATGATCCAGAGGCCAACGACGGCAATATGGCCCTCGACCTCCACCTTATTTCAGAACGCCGAGAGTAGGCCTTCATACGTGCAGAAAACAACCGAAGGCAAGTGAAGAGTTACATTGACGCCAAGGTCCGCTCCCGGGAATTCCAAGTGGGGGACTATGTCCTCCGAAGAAGGGAAGCTAGCCAACCAACCGAGGGCAGAAAGATGGCACCAAACTTCGAAGGCCCTTACATCGTGGCAGCCATCATCAAACCAGGAACTTACAAGCTAAAACGCCCTAATGGGACTGAAGTCCCTAGGCACTGGAATGTACATCACTTAGTTAAATTTTATCAATAACATCAGAGCGCCCAAGCCCTCATAACTAGTGAATGTATTATTTTACGGCCCAAGGCCTAAAAATTCTGAAGAACGAAGGCATTTTGAAGACACCAAGAACATGGAACAGGATTCTTACGAAGGGCCAAGCCGTCATATCACCCCCTGGCCCAAGGCCTTACCACAAGGAAGAACCATCGGCACCAAGTGCCGAGGGTAGACAATACTATCACCTACAACAGCAAGAAAGTACCAACTGTCCTCAAATGGAGACCCCTCGGCACCCGGTGCCGGGGGGACACACCACTGACAACTTTCAACAAATGGGAAGAAACACCAAATGTTTCCACAGAAGACCCCTCGGTACCAAGTACCGAGGGTAAACGACACAATCACCTGCGATAAATAAAGGAAAAACACCAAGTGTTTCCACAGAAGACCCCTCGGTACCAAGTACCGAGGGTAGACAACACAATCACCTGCGACAAATGAAGAAAAAACATCAAGTGTTTTCACAGAAGACCCCTCGGTACCAAGTACCGGGGGCCGTACACCGAAACAAACACCAAGGTTGTTTCTAAAGACGTTCCCCTCAAGGACGCCTATACCGAAGGCGCCACCTCTCAGTGCCGGCAGCACGTAGTGCCCCCGGCCATTTGCAACCAGTGTGCAAATGAAAACCCTTCCATGAAACGCTTTTCGCGTCATTACCCCAAGGGTATGACAGGCACGAGAAATGCCCAGGATTCGACTTTCAAAAACGGAACGCTTTCCGCGCCATCTCCCCAAGGGATTGGCAGGCATCTAAAAATGCCAAGGATTTGACTTCCAAATCGAAACACTCCCCGCGTCACTACCCCAAGGGTGTGGCAGGCCACGGACGATGTCTAGCGTCGAGGGGACGACTTTCAAAACTGAGGCGCTTTCCGTGCCATCCCCCAAGGGGAGGCAGGCTACAGACCACCATATCTTGTACCCAGGAAACGACCCTCGATCCCCTCGGAACTCGGAAGGTTAACCCGAGGGGGGAGCTAATGGTGTATTCTGTTACCTCCCGATAGGCCAAGCCTTACCAAGAAACCAAGTTTCTTGAAGCCTTCCCTTCACTACTCAAAAAAAATGGGGTGGTGAAGGGGAGTAGACTCGGCGAGAAATCAATGAGTACATCACTCCTACAATTCACGGAAACATACCGAGGGCTCCCCACGGGAACACCTTCGGTACCTGGAAGCTCACAAGTACCAAAGATACCATTCACAACAGACATCATCAACAAATGGCTAAGTCCACTCCATAATCACCTCCGGCTATATCTAAACCGAAGGCTCAAAACCTACAAAACATGAAAGGCTCAGCCAACAACAACTCAAAACGTCCCCGAAGGCTACTACATAACAAAGCTATCAGATGGTGGCCAAATCCAAGCAAGAATCACCCCCGACACCTCACTAGAAACCGAGGGGACACATCCAGACAGGGCCCAAGGGAGTCTGTCTTTTCATGATGGACTGGGATTGCAAAATTTCCTAAGTCAAACTGTGGGGACATAACAACAGCCGAAGGCTTTTTGTTGCCACAAGCCATCATTACAAGGTAAAGGAAACTATCCTAAACCTACAACGTATACAGCCGAAGGGTGCCCTCCCGAAGGCCAGCAGCAGGAAATACTTAGAGAAAATAATCTAAGTCCCAAATACTTTGCCCCCTGTGGAGCCACCAGCCCGCCGAAGGCGCATCTGAGAAAAGGTCCTCACATTCACCCGAAGGCTCCTCCCTCGTGCAAACTACACTTAGAAAACTTTCTAAGTCCTAACTATTTCTGGGCCCTCGGTCATACATCTAGTCAGCGAAGGGTACCCAATTACCGAAGGCTAGACTGTATTCAAACACTTAGAAAAATTCTTCTAAGTCCTAAACACCTCGCCTCCGGTTATCTCATGAAGGCTACACAGAACCAGAGGGAAGGAATTAGTCGGGGGCCAACAAATGAACAAACACTTAGAAATATTTCTCTAAGTCCTGAACATTGTGCCCTCAGTGAAATGTTCAGATGACTAAACAGGCCTAGTGGCCGAGGGCTACAAAAGACACTGTACTTAGAGAGAAAATTTCTAAGTCCTAACATACACACATACAGAAAAGGCGAAGGCATACACACAAGAAAGACGAGGGCATACATTCAAAGAAAAACAATTAAAGGGAACAAATTATATACAAAAAGCCCGAAGGCAAGCATTCATTCATCAAAGGAAAGGAAAATTCAAGTGTATATTACAAAGGGGCCGAAGGCCAAGGGCATACAAGCATTCATTACAACAAGATTGTTCAGAATTTGTTAAATACAAATTAGATATTAACATCCCCGATGGCAGCCTCTTCCAATGCCTTTGAAGTGACCTCTGTGCCGGCCTCAGTTTCGTCTCCCTCGGCCTCCTTCATCAGCTCAGTGTCTTCCAAGTCTGGCCTCTCGACATCTGAGGGGAGAGGAACACGGACATCTGGCTGCAGGGGGGGAAGTCCGTATGCCGCCGGGTCAAAGTCTTTCTGGTCGATCTTCAAATGACGGGCCATCCTCCGGTAGATGAGGGTTTGAGTAAAAAACTCACCCCCATCGTAGTATTGTTTGCCCTTTCGGGAAACCCACTCCACACCGGGCCCGTCGCACCATTCATCGACCGAGGACTCCACGACCGAGGACAACCACTGTTTGTGCTCCTCTGCCCTCCACCCCCCTGCCAAAAATCCGGAGACGACGTCCTCTCGGGCCTTCGCGACGGCATCCGCCTTGGCGGCCTCGGCCTCCTTGGCGGCTCTCTCGAGGGCTTCAGCTGCAGACCTTTCAACATCGGCCTTGCCCCGGTCTGCGGCCTCCGCCCGCAGCGTCATCTGCCGAAGGCTCTCCTCCAATGCAGCCATCTGCCTGATGGCATCAGAGTTCTAGTAGATGAGCTCCCGCATCTTCGCGTCCTGCTCAGCCTTGTGCATGCGCCACTCCTCCAGCCTCCGGGCCTGTTCACCGAGGGCAATGCAAGTCTGCAAGTTATAAAGAAGTTAGGAAAGCCGTACATTATATCCTAGCACGAAGTAAAATGGTAATCAGGGAAAAACTTACTGTGAGGGAAGATCGGAGGATCTTGTCCTCGAGGGCCAGGTCATCATCAGCCCCGAGGGCGGCTCTGCCAAACTCGGGGGTCATGCCCCTCAGAAGTACCCTCGGGTCCACCGTGCAGTTCATCACGGCTGTTCCTACCGGGAGAGAAACCATCAGAACCTCGGAGGATGGCTCCCGGACACCCCTCGGCACTTCCGCCACCGGCATCTCCACGGGCATCCCGGAGGCGGGGCACTCATCTACGATGACCACGGGAGGATCCTTCTTCCCGGCATCTCCCGTTTTTGGCCTTTTGCCCTCGGGAGCCTTGCTCGCAGCCTTTCTCTTCGCAGCGGCGGCAGCGTCGGCACTTGGAACCGTCGACGGCCCCTCGGGCTTCTTAAAGAAGTCACCGGCGGGTTTAGGGACGCCAGCATCCGTCCCCTTCGGGACCTTGGAGGACTTCTTCTTCTTCAGGTCAGCGAGCCCTCTGACGTTCATCATGGAGACCGTGATACCTGCAACACAATACGGGGTTAGGCCGACGGGTCATTAACAGATGGCATGAAAGTACAAAGAAAAAAAAACAACAAACTATGTGCTAAATACGAAAATAAAGGTGCTCTCAGCTGCTACCTCCTAAGCCTCCGGAGGCTCCCTCAAATGCCGGGTACTTTTCATCCGTTTCCCCCAGGAAGCGATACCGTCGGAACCCGAGGGTGTAAAGGTCCTCCTCTCGAGTGCACTCCTTGATGGCTATGTTCTTATCTCGGCCCTCCGGGATCTTGGCCAGGATTCTCCCATCCTTCTCGAGGGCGGCGCTTCTCACTTTCTCGTGCCTTCTGAACCGGTCACGCAGTTCCCTCGGGAAGGGGCTCTCGGCTAACTTTATGAAGCACCACCGGTCTTTCCACCCTTTGTTCGAGGAGGGCACCTCAGTAAACAACTTGAACAAGGCCACCTGCTGCAAATTCGCGAAGCCCTCGGCATTCGCATGCCCCCCCGGCACAAATTGAAACTTTGAAAGAACAGGTCCAGGCTAGGCGTTACCCCCCGGGATTTGCAGAGATGGAGGAAGACCGCGATGTATGAGTGGTTGTTCGGCGTCAGTTGGCAGGGGACAAAACCCACGAACCGAAGGTATTCTCGAAGGAATGGGTGTAGGGGGAACCGGAGCCCCATCGATACGGACAGGATGTGCACTGCAATGCAGCCCTCGGGAGCCCGGGAGAGGACATCATCAGGACCCGACGCCACCACTTCGGCCGAGGGACCCACATGTAACTGGGTGACATAGAGATCCGCCTTATCAGCTTTCGACCTTATCTCTAAGGCGGCAGTATTCAGGTAGGAATACCCCTCAGGCATATCGAGGGGCTTCCCTTGGTTTGCGACGCTGCCTTTCTTCTTGGAAGCAGCACCCTTCGTCTTCTTTTTCCCGGGGGCCACCCGGAGGGGAACCGTGTTCAACGGCCGAGAGGTGCTGGCCTCACCAGTTCCCCTAACCTAACCTAAGGCCACACAACTACAACTCGCTAATGCTACAACAGATGGGTGGAGAACTGACCTCGGAAGATTGATTGATCGAAGGCAGCTGTTTCTCTCTCTAGGAATTTGGGCAGAGCTTCGCTACAATGATATCACACAGAGTAAAGCGGCCTGGCCATGGGGTATTTATAGGCGCCCAAGTCCGGGGTTGGGCCTGAATACCGGGCCTCCGGTACAAAATCATCATTACCAACCGACGTGCTGCCCAATCGGTGACACCCGCCCACGGGCAACCAACGAGCACGCACCACGTGGAAGCCCCCCCAACGGCTATATTTTGACGTTAGGTATTCCCACGGCTATATTCTGGGAGCCTCCGGCTATATTTAGCAGCCCACTCCTTCATCAACCAAGGAACTAGCCCCCGGGCATTTTACTTCACTCCACTTCATCAAGAAGAGCCCCCGGGTACACTTACCCAGAGACGCTCCCGGTTTGTGCCCCTCACACTACATAACAAATGCCTTCGGGCTCACTCCTTCAGAAGCCCACGGCTTCATAACAGGCACACCCCTCGGGAATCCCCCCTCAGCACTTTGAGGGCCGGGTAGCCCCCAGGGAGTACACCTCATTGACGGATAGCCTACGGCACACAGGTAACGGGAGCCCTCGGATACCCTCCTCGCCAACTAATCAACAAACAGGGGACACCCCGGTAACACTTCAACTACTACTCACATTCATCACGCCCTCGATCCCCAGATTGAGGGACTCCCCTTCGGCACCTCCCAGGATATCAACAGCAAGCCTCCGGCTAATCAACACATGCGCCCTCAGAACAAGAATAGCCTTCGGCATCAGCATTGTGCTCCATTTCGGACCAGGGCTTCACATTTTCGATTCATCGTTGGGGGAATTCGGTGCACTCTTTTTCCCTCATTAGGATTTTTTCCCACAGGGTTTTTACTAATGAGGTTTTTAACGAGGCATCCCCCCAAAATGAAACGAAAAGCGTCAACCTTCGGCCCAAAACAACAACATGATTACTCTACTCCTTTTTACCACTTTGCAAGTGCCTCAAGGAGTGGGGAACTGGAGAACCCCCTCGGGAAAAATCACAAAAATCACAAACATGACCCCTCAAGTCCCGACATGTGGGTAACTGAGGGACTGCCCTCGGCAGGATAAACAAACAGCAAACTACCCACAACACTACAAACTACAACGGAACAACAACAGATGACAAACACAATTACTCCTTTTCCCTCAAGTACCTTTCGGAAAAAGGAGTGAGGGACTCCTGATGGAGTATATGGCCCGGGAACCCCCGGTCCACAGACTCCTACTACTCCAATAAAGGCCCAACAGGCCCAGAAAGCACAACAGGCCCAAATCACAGTGCCCAGAGTACCAAGCGGCCCACAGTGCGCACCAGGGGTGCCTTCGGCCCCCTGGCCGAAGGCTCTGATCCTCACAGGAGGGTCAAATCAGGAAAACAAAGTTACTGGGGAAAACGGCGAAAATCAATAGCCCTCGGCACTAAGGAGGTCCCCGGTACTCAGAGCCCTCGGCTAATCATCTACAGCCGAGGGCACCTTTTCCGACATAATATCCGCTCCACATGTGTATGGATCACCGTACCAAGTACGACGTCACATCCAACAGCCGCATTAAATGCGGCCACATGCGATTGTCAGCGCCAACCAGTTGAGGTGACCCCTTGGCCAATGGATGCTTGACACGTGTCCCTGTCTGGCATTTATTGCTACTATAAATAGCACCCCATTTCCCCATTTGTAACCAAGAAGAAAATACGCTGAAAACACTGAATACACTTTCTAATATACTCTCTCTCTCTACTTACTTGCTCTGACTTCTCTCTAGTTATTCCCCGTAATAACCACTCGGATAAGCTACCCCCCGGGTGCACTATCCATCACTTACTTTGCCTAAAAACAATTAAATTGGCGACAATAAATGTATAGAAGAAATAGCATCCGTTACCCGTACGAGTAGCTCAATTGGTCGAGTGGTGGGAGATTCGGAACAATAGACCAAAGTTCGAATCCCCGCAGCGACCGGGTGGAGGTCACATAACCTGAAATAAGGCTGGGCCTCTGGTGCGCACGGGTGTATGGGCCTACTGCCATTCTGCTGACTGAGTCACCGTGACTAACCTCCCCACCAGGGGGGCTCCTGGGGTGGGAGATTCCACCTTTTTGGAACAACAAAGAAATAGCATCCGTTAAAAGGGTGTGTTTGTTCTGCTCTTAGTTGTTAAATTAAACAAGACAGACAAATATTACGAGTACAAGACAGTAAAATCTCAAATCCAAATGGCGATTTCCCACACCGGTTTGTCACCAAGAACACATGTAGTGATCATATTTTTCGACTTATCAGGTTATCATTCAACTTTTTCACAAAATGTGTAACTTTTGATTTCGTGCGCTAAATTGTACTTTGTATAATTCAGAAAACTAAGGTTGAAATTACTTTTTTGGCTGTATTGGTTGAAGTTATTGTAGAAAATCATTTTAGCTATTTTTCATATAATTTTTTATTTATTTTAGTAATACAATATATTTTAAATATAATTTTTTTCTTAAATCAGAAGATTCAGTCAATCCAGGCACTTCAACCAGAATTTCATAAATTTCAGTAGAATCAGTCAATTAAGTCAATTTCAGTGTTATCAAACGAGCTCTAAAGCAGCAAATCGCTGAAATCCTATAAGTAGGCCGTCCATCATGCCCTTATAAACACTTTCACGCTTCGGGCAATGAACCAGCTAGTGAGGTATTAACTGAGGATTTGGGGCGCCTCTTTGAAAACTATTTAAAAACCCCCTCTTTTGCTTAGGTTCCTCCTTAGCTTTAGAGAATTTTTGAAAGTGTTCCCGTTTTCGGGATGCCCTCTAATCAAGTTTAATACTCCCTCCTCCCTTATAACTTTGTCAACTTTCCTTTTTTGATTTCCCACTAACTTTGCCACTTTCCCATTTAAGTAAAGAATTTATTGTTCCAGTTAATTCTCTCTTCTCTGCACAAACCTCAATCACACAGTTTTTACTTTATTAATCTCCGTACCTGTCAAAGTTGACAAAGTATTGAGGGACGGAGGGAGTATTATAAGAGTACCGTTTTTAATTTCCCTGCCCTATCATTAAGATGATTCCAAGTATCTAACGGTAAAAGTATATATATACGGTGATCATTGAGGACGAAGCAGCAAGATCCGAAAGTAGGAAAAGCTCCTTAGCCACTCACATAACTCCCTTATTCTATTTAGCACTCCGTACAAAATATAAGACGGCTCCTAAATATATTCCCACACCGGCAGCATTATAGGTTTTAATGAAACTTTAAATTTCCATTTTCTTTGATTTGCCTGTGTAATGGATTCATGTTGGGTAAAACTCGGGATTGGATTTATCATTTTCCCACTGATGCGGAAGAAATTGCAAAGATATTTTATAATTCTTTCCACATCAGGAAAAATGATAAATCCATGCACTAGTATTATCCAAGCTTAAATTTTTTGATAAATCATCACACAGTACACTAGTATTAGATTTTTTCACTCCCTTTTTTGTACACAAGGTTATCTGATCTTTTTTGATAAATCATCACACAGTACACTAGTATTAGATTTTTTCACTCCCTTTTTTGTACAAGGTTATCTGATCTTTTTTGATAAATCATCACACAATACACTAGTATTAGATTTTTTCACTCCCTTTTTTGTACAAGGTTATCTGATCTATAGGGTTAGTTATTTCTACAAATGTGATTTTTCTATGGTCCCACTTATTATTTTTAGCAAAATTTTTTCATCTTCATGTTAAATTTTATGAATAAAAACGATATTTAGGTATTGAAAAA